AAATTACGATTTCTTTATCCATTAAAAGTGAATCCTTGGTGAAATAAAAATATTAGTTACAACTTACAACGACTGCAGTATGCAGCAGTGAAAAAGTAATGTAGACCAAGAAGATACAAGAATTGTGTTAGGTACCGTTTTGATTAAACGGTCAAAATATGAAATATATATTATAAGAATGTCATGGCCATTATTTCCATGCATTGTTTACGTTTCGCATGTGTATTTGTTTTGTACAATAATTGTGTACTTGGCTGCATGCAATTCGATCTCATTGTATAAATGTATGTCTATAGGTATAGGTACATGTATTACATACTCACAAAAACTAATGTTTACAATAGGCGGAGAAAGTGGTTCTTCTTCTTCTCGTCTCTCGCCATTTTTTTTTACAGGCGTAGGCATCATAAATAATTGCATGCGTTCATTTTGTCGATTCATCAAAACCACCTACTATGGCCACATTATACATATTATTCATAATAATAATAATAATATACAATATGCATACCAAAATTACATGGTTGAATTGGTAGTTTTTAACATRAAAAAAACTGATCTAGGTTTCTATGACTTGTAAAGATGTCTTGCGAATTGATGATGAAAACGATTTTGAGCGGAGACGGTTTATCTGTCTAGGATATATAATAGATTATTATTACTTATTATTAATACTAATTAAAATATTTGACTTTCTGGTGGACATTTTTTTTCTTGGTAAAGGTAGTTAAACTTATAACTTTATAAGGAATCTTGAATTAAATTTTCAAATCTTAGATTAAAAAAGAAAAATGTTTATGAATTTCTATCTAAGATAATTTGAACATTGCCGTAATTTTTACGTATTTAGTCAAAATTTGAASTTACATATTATTCATAAAAATAATAATAATATACAATATATGCATACCAAAATTACATGGTTGAATTGGTAATTTTTAACATAAAAAAACTGACCTAGGTTTCTATGGTTTGTAAAGATTTCTTGCGGATTGATGATGAAAAGCAAAATTGATAATTAGATGACACGTGCCCATGAATGCTATTAATATGATATTATTGTACCAATGTCTATGGTTTTCTAACATACAGAATATACAGTATGAATCTTTTAATGACGAATACTCATTTTTTCGAAAATTAAAGACACACAATTTTAATTTTTAGGATTTAATCCTGTACATTTATTTTTCACCCTTGAATGATGAATGATTAAATGACAACCTTCTTTCAACAACTTTATTTCGTAATTCTAAGAAGCAAYATTTAAAATGTTATTTTGTTAAATGTTAACTGTTATCCTATTGTCCTTCTTTTTGAATTTATAAATTYTATTATTTGTTTTTCTGTTWTATAAAATATGAATATATTTCAATCGTTACAAATGAACAGAATGTATCAGTCATATAAATCACTTCGTTCATTATTTTTTAATATGTGCTTTATCGAATATTTAAACGGTCTTCTTATTTGCTTTATTTTTAATGTTCAGTCTTTCAAGTTTCAAAATTTTAAAAAGGTGCTTTTTAAATGCATTCACCAAGTTATTTTGTTTTAGAATTTTTTTTTATGGATATTAAAATTTTTGACAAATACTTGCCAGTCGATTGTTAATTTATTGTGCCTTAATGTCTWTCGYATTTTTCATGATGTTAAAGTCGTATTATAGCGAGAATTAAACGTAGGACGTGTAGAAATGCAACTAGTTTTTAATAAGTGTTTCAAAATCGCGTGGTGCTAATTATTTTAGATTAAAATGTATTTATGAAAACATATATGATTCATTCTTTTCTTTCGTAATAACTGTGACGAAACTGAGTGCATAATATTCACATATAGATGTATAGTAGAAAAAATCAAAATATTACAACGGGTAGGTTAATAGCTATTTTTTTTGTGCTATTGATGTCTATGCAAATTACAGGTAATATCGTAAAATTTATATGTGTGGTTTATAATCTTAAAGACTGCTTGACCGGATTTAACGAATACTTCATGTATTGTTTCTACAGATATCAGGAAGGTTCTAAGAGACCAAGTCCGATAGGTTGCGCGGAACAACTAATAATTTTTTTTTGTATTTTTGTTGATTGTACGCTGTATAAACTACTATATTCCCTATATAAGGTTACAATAATAATAAAATCTTCCATCTTGGAAGTGATCCATCTTTTTATCATTCTTTTTTATATAATAAAACTAAATTATAAATTGTAATTAATGGAATAATTATTATTTAATATATTACAGTAATTTGAAGTATTATTAATTTTGTCCAGAGGGTGGAGGTATTCAGGAATACCTTTACTTATTGGCTCAAAAAGTTATTAAATTTAAACTTAAATACACAAAATGTTCATCGGACACTTAAATCATAATATAAATAATCATTATTTTCTGTAAAAGCATTTTAAGGGTTAAATAATATAATTATTATTTATGATAATAATATTTTCACTGCATAAAACATCTTATTTCTCTAGTTATTAGGACATAAAAATCCGGTTTGTACAACTATACAAAATATAATTATTTGAATAAATTGTTTAATTCTTAAATATATAAAACATGAAAACCAGCAAAAACAGTTCTCCTCACAATTATTTTTATTTATAATCTTAGAGTTGACGTTAAACTTAACAATAATGTAATTTTTTCGGTAAAAATTTTTAGGTTCCAAAAAGTATTTTGAATATTATTTTTTACATAGTAGGTATTATTGCTCGATTAAATAACATAAATAATGTTTTAAGAATATAATTTTCTAAGTATTAAGAAAATCGTTAAAATTAACTATAAAAACTATATGTACATTTGGAGACGAGTGACCAACATAATAATATTATGACCAACCCACCAAAATCGTTACTTTTTATACATGTTTAAAATTGTTTTATAGTAATTTATTTGAAATTAAATACATGATGGCAAATTTAACACACCCACTCAAGTGGTTTATTTTAAACAGTAGTTTACTCTACGTTTGAAAAATATTATCTCTGTAGAATACAGTACCTATCAATAMTAATAAGTATTATCGTTAAATAAAGTTTTTGTTATAAGTAAGTAGTACTAAGTACTTAAAAATGAATATAATATTATGTATGAAAGTTAGATTATTTATATATTTAAATTATTTKATTATAGTTACAACTATACGMGTCTATATGAATTAAAATCTGATAGGGATCCATTTATTTAATGTTATATATTTRTGAATACCTTAATCATTTACTTTTTCCATATTATGTTTTAATCCAGATATTTGACGAAACGATGTATAGTGATATTTGATTTAATTATKACCTTAAACTTCTATTTTATTGTGAGGCTAGTTTGATCTATTTTTACCATTACTTGTTTATTAGTATCATATTAATCTTATTTTTTGTGTAAATTTATGTTTCTACTTTTAACATGTATTTTTATCTACTTCAAATCAGTGAACAAACGAAATGTATGGGCTACAAACTAAATTATTCAGTAATTTCGATTGAAAATTATCTTTCCAAATAAGGTTAACTATAATTTAATACATCGCCTATATATATTAAAATTCATTATATATAATTCATTATTTTTATTGTAGTTTAAACACTTCAGAGAAGTAAGTGATTCAACTATTAAATTTAAGTTTCTATAATTAAT